GTAAACGACGGTAACATCAGGAGAAGACCTTTATTTTTCACAGCACTAAAAGTTTATCACTGTGATGGAGTGAAAACACGTGTATTCTTTTACCTCCAACCAGTTTCGCTTCACTTTTTCAGCCTCCTTGTCAACGCTCACAACAGGTTTTTTTATATATATTTTTTTTTCCAGAATTTTTATACAGAAGTGGGCTGCTTACAGAAGTGGGCTGTATACAGAAGTGGGCTACATACAGCAAGGATGGATGGTTGGATGGATACTTCCATTCATTCATTATTGTTATGGTTCAAATGTTTACATTTAACCTTTGATATTTTTGTGACTCATATGTTTAGTTGACTTTTAGGAAATTATTTTAAAATATGTACAACTAACACATGACAGACTGTTGCCCTGAAATATTATGGTGTCCAACTTTCAATTTACTGACTCAGTATTAAACCCATGACCTGTTTAGTTGAACACAACCCTGATATTAGACCCACAGGAATTGAAGAAAGAAACCAAGATCTTCTTCAACAACTCTGAGTCTTTTTCTTTTTGTAGTTTTTAATAGTCATCTGCTGCCACCTAGTGGATGTTATTTAATTGTTCTACCTTTAACAGTCCCAAAGGCAAACCTGGACAAATGATTACCATTACCATTTTCACCTGATGTCCTCCTAAGACTCTGATGTGCTGGAGCAGAGTGGTTGGGAATCACTGCTCTAAAGGATATTTATTTACAGTAGTCTTCTTCCGAGATGAGAGCAGCACAGTGGTGCAGTGATCAGCGTGGGCCTGACATGTCATCTGGACCAGCTCCAGCTCCAGCTCCGGCTCATTCCTCTAAGGATAAGTGGTGTTGATAATGGATGGACGAGCTGCTTGTATCCCATCACAGCTGATGCTGATTTTATAGCTGGAGCTGCTTGAAGTGGAGTCAGTTCATCTGTCAGCACAATTTATTTTTGCACATCATAACAACCAGAGATAAAATCGATGCGGGGGGAACGCGGCGCCTTGTTTGTGTGTTAACATAAGCGTATCTTTAAGAGACCTGTGTTGCGTCAACCATTAATCCAATTCAACTTCATCTCCTGTGGGGTTTTTCCAGTTCCTACGACTGCGGGCTGTGCAGAACGTAGTGTAGCCTTCAGTCTGCTGAGCCTCAGAAAACCCTGATGCTGTCCACTGCCTCCGCCGGGTCACGTCTTGAGTTTCATGCTGACACCCACCCTCTCACCGAGTGCACGTGTGTGTTCAGTATCTTTGAGAGAGACACATCTCCTCATCTTTGCGGAAGGGCAGGGGTTGGAGAACTGCACCTGAGTGGCTGCTGTTGTTTTTCTGCTGAACGAGTGGAAAGTTGGCCCAGTGTTGGGTTTTAAATAGCTGAATGGGTATTGACCTGCCTGCAGCCACACACACACACACACACACACACACACACAGTAATGGTTGGTTTAATGAATGAATGTTTAGGTGAATGAAGTGATGGATTCATGAATGGAACGAAGAAGAGAGCGGTCCTGTTTAGTTACTGATCAACATGTTTCTGTCAGTTTCACCTCCAGGTCAAATATTGTGTTTGCTGTTGTTACACCTGTAAGTCAAAAGGTTCTACGATGGGTGTTATCATTTCTGCAGGTGTCTGATTTGACTTTGGTCCTTCATATCATATCTGTGTCAAATGCTGAGCCATGATTTTTTTTAACCCACTGCAGGAAGAGCATTGTGTCTGTGAGGGGTAGCTGACGTTGTCAGAGTGGTGGAAGAAGAGCACTGACAGATGCTACAGACTCTGACTGCAGTGTGATGTGTTCAACTCTTATGCTCATTTTAATATATGAAGGCAGACATTTAAGGAAAAAAAGTATATGTTTTTTGATGAGAGAGAGAGACAGACAGAAAGAGAGAGAGAGAGAGTCTTAGACATAACCACCAACACTGTCCTGAAATGTCTCTGTGTTCTGGTCTCACTGCTGACCTGTGGCAAGGACATCATCAAGTGATGTGATGTGGTTTGGCACTGGTGCAGTGCCGAGGGCTGAGTCACACACACACACACACACACACACTCATGCACACTAAGGCTAAGCAATATAAAGGAACTGTCGACTTAAAACAATCATTAGTTAGAATACCAGTGCAGATGATGAAATCCCCTCTTTCTGTGTAAATCCACTTCCTCTTACCCTGGAAAAGCTGTGCGATTGATTAAAGATTTCAAAGACAATTCACATGATTAGAATATGTTAATATTGATCTTACTGTGAGGCCACAGGGCTGGAACACTTTGCATAGTCTTTGCATTTTGAAGTCTTTCTTTATCTGTTCAATTTTATAATGTTGTCATTTTTTAAGCTGTAGATTCATCATGTTTAATCTCTCCAGAGGTTGGAGTCACAACTAACACAATGTTCATTTGGACAGAACGCCTAGTCTGTTCAGACACCGACTGTTTTGACCCTCTGACCCTCTTCTCTTCTCCAGCCTCTCCTCGGTGGGTTGGCATGGCCCAGTGATGAACGGAGCGGTGGTGCCCGGTAGCCCGGAGCTCTCCTCCTCGTGCCCACTGCCTGACTGGCGAGAGTTCTGCGAGCTTCACGCTCGAGCTTCTGCTGCGGACTTTGCTGACAAGTTCCAGCGTTTCCTCTCAGAAAACCCGTGCTACGACTCTCCTGGTGCGGACGTCAGTTTCTCTCAACACTTTGCTCATCATTTCCTGGAGTGTTTCTCTGCAGCTCTCACCCAGGCCCGGGAGAGTCAGGCCTGCTCACCGGGTGAGAACGGCTCCAACGCGGCACCAAAGTACAGCATAGTTCCTTTCCTGGGCATCCAGGGCTGCCCTCTGTCCTACGGTCACGACCTCTACCAGAGGCGCAAGGACGCTGGGGCTTCAAGCGAATCCCTGGACAGTATGGACAGTGGAGGGGGAGGGCTAGATGCGGGAGGCGGTGGAGGCTCGGCCTCCAGAGGCCCTCAGCCAACCCATAAGGTGTCCGCTCTGGGACAGTCTCGCAGCTCAGAGGACGTGTCCATCAGTCACCCCAAGGCTCGCTTCAAGAAGGGCTTCTCACTGAGGAACATGAGCCTGTGTGTGGTGGACGGGGTGAAGGAGATGTGGCACCGACGAGCCTCCCCCGAACCGGACGCACCCTCCGGAGCCAGAAAGGTTAATGGGGGCGGAGGTGGGGGAGTCGTAGGTGAGGCTGCAGCTGGAGAGAAATGGTCCCAAAAACTGCGGCTGCCCAGGGGCCCCCAAAGCCACAAGTCAGAGCAGCTGGAGGTCCAGAGGGAGGGGGCGCTGAGGTACATGGTGGCCGACGACACAAACTGTATGGGAGCTGCTCAGTGGCAGAAGTGTCGCCTCCTGTTGAAGAAGAGCAAGAAGGAGGAAGGAGGCGAGAAGTTCCTGCTGGAGTTCTATGTACCACCCAAGGTAAAGACCCCACCCACTGTAAAAAAGCCCAAAAAGAACCAGAACATGTAAAGATAATTGGATAAAGGTTAGGACCAAGGTTATATATTTCTTTATCTTATTTTCTTCCTTGAGAATCAGCACAGCAGCACATGATGTTGTTTTTAAATTTACCGCTCTGTCTTATGCAACGCTAACCTTTGGGTTTTGGGAGTTGGGACAAACCAACATGAAAGTACGGTACTTCACAGCAGTGGATAATCTAAGCACTCTGATACTGCATTACAGATTTAAGAGAGATTTAAAATAAAATGTTTTTGCAAAAAGAACAAAATCAGTTTGAACTGTTTTCGGTTCATGTGAGAGCTGCAGCAGTCTTAGCCCCGCCTCACTGCTCTCAATTGGCCCCAGCCAGTACTGATCAACGTCCTACTCCTGTGTCATGGTTTATCTGTGCGTATTTAGTAAAGAACTTCCAGAACATTCGTATAAAATTATTTTAATGCATTTTCTCATTCCTCATACATTTCTGACAATTAATTAAGTCTAAATATCTGTAATCCAGTCTATTTCTAATGACCAGTTGTGACAACACTGTCTCCTGCTGGTTGAAAACAGAGTGTAATATTTACAGCCATAACTCTGTTCAGAGATAGAAAGGGTTTGTAGATATTTTGATGTGTGTTTAATACAGCTTAGACCTAATATAAAAAATCTGGCTGTACATCCTGCAGCAGATCGGTCTTGGCTTAATTACAGTCAACTCAGTTGAACTCAGAGAGTCCGTTTGTCCTGTTCACTCACAGAGTGAAGGCAGAGGGATGAGAACGTTCACTGAAGATTAGAAACAAAGACGAGGTCGAACACGACTGAGTTCACGACACTGATGAAAACAATCATTAGTCGCTTCCCTGAATGGATTCCAGATATAGATTTATACTGATAATCCAGCCTCAGTGACCCTGGATGAACCACACACACTCACACACACACACACTCACACACATTTGTGTAGGCATGCAGGAGAGCTCCACATTTTTCTGTTTGGGATTTCCAGATCGTTGCCTCTGACCTTACGAAAGCAGTGAGTGTGTGTGTAAATCTGCCACTGTGCTTTGATCAGGGCTGGTAGGAATGTAAGGATGGGGGAGGGGGGTGAGGGAGGGAGGCAGGCGTGTTAAGAAAACTCAGGTTGGAAGGAAGTTTCATTGATTTCTGCAGGAGTGAGAGATCATAAAGTTTCCCCTTCACGGCCAGTAGATAAGTATTGATTAGTCTTTCAACTCTCAGACCGAAAACAGGAAGTGAAAGAGTTTCTGCGACCGGCCACCGGGGGAACGTTTCAGAGTTTTTTATTTTTTAGACATGAGGAAATGATAGGCAGCCACAGACAGAGCTGAGGTTTGGAGATGTTTAGAAGCTCCACACCAGCAGCCTAGATGACACTTTAATTAAACACACACACACACACACGTCTTCTTACAGCAGCAGGGCTGCAGACACACACACTCAGAGTTGTTTTATCACCGCCATCCAGTACAAATCATAACAGTGTCGCCGAGATGAACGGACTCATAAAGTCCAACTCCTGTCTGCTCCTGGTCCACTCAGGCTCAGGCTCAGGCTCCAGCGCTGTCAGGGTGATTAATCTGCATGCTGCTCCATGTGGCAGAGCTGAGCTACTGCAGCGTAGCTACCACTCTGCATGATGACACTGCAGTAAATGTACTGAGATCAGTCTCTGGGTAGCACCAGTTTGGGTAGCGTCCAAGTTCAAAGGGTTTATTGAATAAGTTTTGGTTAATTTAAACCTTCAACAGAACGTTTGTAACATCAATTTTGAATAACGTCTTAATAATGTAATCGACTCCTGTAAAATAACAGTGAAAATAATAATATTTGCCAATACATAATATTAGCTAAAATAAGTGGCCTGATATTAGTCAAAATATAACTGCTAATTCCAAACTATGCTAAGAATACTATAAAGAATTCTCATAACAGAGGAAAAATACTTCAGAAATAGCAACAAAAAAAATCCTAAAAATACATCAAAATTGTCTTTCATCATTTGAGCCTAAAAACAGATTCCCACAGTCTAGGACCAAACAGTTTGTACTTCCTGTTGTAAAAAACAATCCATGAAAGGCCAAATGGTTTAGTACAGGAAATGGTTCTTGACATGTGATCCAGTGTGGGTGTGGACGTCAGCCAGCTGCTGTGATGAAGAGGAGAACGGTGCTCCTCCAGACACATCAGCCGCTCCGCTCAGCTTTTCTTCTGACTCTGCCTTCCCAGGAACATGAATGAACAAATCTGTAGATTTGGGGGATTTAAGAAATCGGACCTTGACCTCCGACCAACCTGAGTGTGGGTTGTGTGGACACTGAGAGACGGTCCCTGTTCAAACACACACACAAAATTTCCCTTGTTTTGACAGGATGTTCATGACTGGTAAACAGTTTTTATGCTGCAGCCAAACAGTTCTGTGGCTTTCTGGTACTCATCGATGTTTTTCCCCTTTGTTTTTAATGCAAGTACAAAGATATTAAATATTCATTATTATTTATTCATATTTAATGAGATATACATTTACAAAAATGATCCTGAAATAACATGAAGTGATTGTGTATTTTTATGTATGTTCAGAATTCATCAAGCAGGCCGCATTGAACACCCTAGCAGGCCGGTTTTGGCCCACGGGCCGTATATTTGACACCCCTGGTATAAAGACTGTATATCTAAAATTGTAATGTGAGCCAAGTTAAGAGATACTGTAAACATGTTGGATAAAAAATGTTGAGACTGAGCACACACACACACACACACACACACACCAAGGACATTGACCGAAGTGTGTTGTTAAGTCTGTTTTTGTTATTTATTTTAAATAGTGTTGAGGCTAAGCAGACACACACACACAGCTGCTCATTACTGCCTAATTATCATGTGTGACGGAGTTTGAGGTCTGGGAGCTGCTGGGTGTGTCTGGAACTAACTACTCATGATAAGAGGTAGTACTTAAAACAGTACCACCAACATTTTTGTAACAAAACTTTGTGGAAGTTTCCCATTTTAACCCTCACTTCCTGAACGCAGTGTTCATTCACCCCGGGCGATGCCACCCACACCGGGGCAGATTTGACTGTGTTTTCTCAAATGGCACGTGTAACATAAAGGTAAAAATAAAAGCTAAACACAGTGCACGGTGGGACCTTGTAAAACGCCTGCTGAGAAAGTCCGCTGCTTAATTACACACACGTCCACTCCTGACTGCGCTGACGTTCTGTTGATGTGTCCCCTGTCCTCATGTTGGTCCTAGTCCTCCAAGCCCAAAGTGAGCATCCCTCTGTCCGCCATCGTGGAGGTGAGGACCACAATGCCGCTGGAGATGCCTGACAAGGACAACACCTTCGTTCTCAAGGTAGGAAAAGAACGAAGAGCCCAGCTGAGCACGAAGTAGACCCAGACTATCAAATATGTTTTTCTGCTAAATCCAAATATATGTTTTTTAACTGTAAAAACTATAATAAAGTAACACAGCACAGTGAAGCAACATTGTTCAAATATTGAAATCTAAAAAAGTGTAAAGAAAATTTAATTCATATAAATAAAACCTAATTGTTTTTTAAACCAAACTCTTGTACAAACATCTTTTACAGTGATTATCAACTGTTGGCCCGTGGGCTGAATCTGGCCCGCAAAACCATCCATTCCCAGGCCGTGACATAATTCTAAAATAAACATCAAAAAATAATGTTTGACAAAATAAAAGATTCTATTTCATTTTATTTGAGTTTCCAGTCCCCACGGTGTCCCCCAAGAACATTAAAAGCTTCGTTTTTACCGACTCAACTCTCCACTCTTTTGTTAGTTGCTCGCATGTGGTGAGTGATATAGAGGCTGACCAGGGTAAAATTATATATATATTATTAAATAATATAGTCTTACTCTACCTATAAGAATACATTGCTCGACCTGATTCGAGCTAATGGTGACTGTAATAGTCTAGGAAATAGTAGTTGCTCATTTGTATCAGCCCTTGACCCTACTGAGCATCACTGTCTGCCCTGACGAAGTCCCTGGTTCACAGCTCAGTGTGTGACTGCGCTGTTTTGCTGCTTCCACAGGTGGAAAATGGCGGCGAGTACATCCTGGAAACCATAGACTCTCTGCAGAAAAACTCCTGGGTTGCCGACATCCAGGACTGCACGGACCCGGGGTAAACCTCTAGATAAATATTTGCTGTTGAAGACGGGGGGGATGTTGAGCGGGACAACACACACACACACACACACACACTCACACACTCACACAGTCCAGGTGTGTAACTTTAGTGGATTTCTTGACAAGGAGCATGAACACAAACATGGACATTCCTCCTCAGTTTCCTGGGTGAGCGGACGTCTGTGGGCGGAGCCCAGGATGTAAACAGAGTTGACTTGTTTCAGTGTTTGTGGCAGCAGGATGTATGCAGCGTTTGTGTGTTTCTCCTGACCTCCCTGCTTGTGTACAGCGACAGCGGTGATGACATCGAGCTCGCGTCGTGTCCTCATGGCCAGGCGTCCAAAGACTGCTCCATGGTGGCCTCCTGCAGCTGTGAGCTGCTCTCAGAGGGTGAGCAAAATAAAAAATGTTTTTTTTTTATCACGTCTTTTCACCCAGGTATTTGGTTAATGTGTTAAAAATATTTTTCAGGTGTGTATCGTGCTCCAGAGAGGTCGTGTCCCACTGCAGCAGAGCACTACACTGCTCCGTCAGTACGGTGCCGGGAACCACCCTTTACCCACCACCCGTCTCACATGCCCTTAGAACGCTTCCTTCAGTCTTCTGAGGCCCAGGGCCCCACTTCCTGCGGGGGTAATAAAAATCTCTGGATTTCAGCTCAAAAATACTTGAAAAAACCTGAGGAAAGATTCTTCATCATGTCTGTGAATCTTAGGTGGCAGTGAAGGAGCCAAAGACTCAGACGGAGATGCCAGTTTGGCCGGTTACCCATGGTTCCACGGGACACTGTCCCGTGTGCGTGCAGCTCAGCTGGTACTCGCAGGCGGAGCCAGGAGCCACGGGCTCTTTGTGATTCGTCAGAGTGAGACACGCCCCGGAGAATATGTCCTGACCTTCAACTTCCAGGGCAAAGCCAAGGTGAAAGAAGTTGCGGTGGTAGTCGCGGTGTTTCTTCTTCCTGTCCACCGCAGGTCACCACAGCATTAATGTCAAGGTCAAGTCTGACCAGTGAAGGACAGATCACAGTTATCTTTTGACCAACATGTCTTTTCTCTCCGCTAACACTTTCTCTTGCTCCTCCTAGCATCTGCGCTTGTCGGTGAATGAGAACGGACAGTGCCACGTCCACCACTTGTGGTTCCACACGGTGTCTGACATGTTGAGACACTTCCATGCCCACCCGATTCCTCTGGAGTCTGGGGGCTCCGCTGACATCACGCTACGCTCCTATGTGCAAGTGCAGCGCAGCTCCACCACAGGTACACAGCACAGGGACACATGAACAGTAAACTACATTAATGTGTCTTCATGTCCATGGACGCTCCGCTCAAACAGTGAGTATTAGTATTAGTTATAGTAATATAAGCTTTGCATCAAGTTTTTGTTGAACTCCATAAGATTGTTTTCTCCTCCCAAATCTATAAGATATCTATATCTATATCAGTCCAGTCGTTGTCCTCAACAATATCAATCAGTCTACGGCAGTGTTTCCCAAACTTTTCATTCTGGTGACCCATATTTTAAAAGTAACAAACCTTTGCAACCCAAGTCAATAGACATTATTTGTAAACTTGAGACAAACCGAAAAAAAAAATCTTGCGACCCTATCTTGCTGACATAAGCCGGGCCGCTGACCAGAGGTTGAAGCCTCAACAAACACATGCTGGGTTGAGTTGATGATGGGATTTTATGCTCGAGGTTCTTCTATGAAACTAAAACTTTTTTTTATTTTGTTGGATATACAGTTTGCCTCATTTAAACTGAGTTGGGAATTTTGATCCGATTTATTTCACAGATTAATGCCTTCATTTGGACAGCTCTAGATTAGACTGAACAATGATTTTTTTTATTTACAAAGTTAAATAATTAAATACACTTTTTGACCTAGCTTCCACATGATTCACCTCAGTTCCACATTAACACATTACTGTAAACACTATAATTATAAACCCACGGACGTAGCAAAAACCAAAAATACTTTATGTGTTGGTCAATTCATGTACGTCGATGCCTAAATTTAGGAATTTGTTTTGCAACGAGTTGACAACATCCTCGTTTTTGTTCTCAGTCTATTGGCAGACAATCATAATTCCCTCATGGCTCCGCCCTGAATCTGTTGAAACCATTGCCAAAAATCTTTTATTACAACACACTCAGCAGCAGAAATAGATTTTTAGGACATGTTTAAATCTTCTCCAGTTCCTCCATCACTGGTTTCTTTTTTCACAAGTTTTTCACTCAAGTACCAAAGGATAATAACGTTAGGAACGTACGATGATTTGAACGTGATGATGGATGGTGGAGGTTTGTCCACACAGATGCAGGAGGCAGAGTTGTCCAGCACACACACACACACACACACACACACACACACACAACACACACTCACTGCTCTCTCCTGGCATGGTATGAATGCCCTCCTGTACAGCAGGGTGAGAGGACGATTATGTTGCAGGAGTTTTGCATGCAGGCGGAGACTGTGGCCCCAACCCACCCTGGTGGTCACAAAGAGACCCTCTGTTTCCACTAGTGCCGGGCCTACACACACTCATACATAAACTCACACACACACAGAGTGAGGGTTTGGTGAACGGTGTCAAAGGCTTTATTGATACCCTGGTCAGGCCTGCCTCTGGCACCAGTGTTGTTGCTGTTACTGCCCACTGAGAACAGGGATAATGACGGAGGCCCAGGCTGCCTGTGTTGGCCTGCTGCTAAATGAGGGCGCTTGTGCTCTTACTTCAATCAACAGTACTGTTATCTACAGAGAAAGATTAATCCGAGTGTTTTCTCAAACTGTTTCTCACTTTTGCATGAACGATGCTGTGAAGATGTGACAGTGCCTCCGGTCCCTACACCACCCAGGGATGCAGGCTGCTGGACAGATTCCACCCAGCCTGCCCTCCACCCTCCTGGGATTACCACACCTGCAGGGCCTCCTCCTGAGGCCCCACTCTCCTCCAGCACGTCTTCATCGCCCACCGCCCCTCCCCCTCTCTCCCGCAGCGACCCAGGTACTGGGGGAGGGTTACAGAGTCGGAGCAACAGCTCCGAGCGCCTTCTGGAGGCCTCTACTGGTGCGTCTGAGGATTACCACGATGCTGACGGAAACCGCAGGGCAAGAGCAGTGGAGAACCAGTATTCATTCTACTGAAGTGCTGAGGGCAGGGTTCAGTGGTGGGTGGTGATGGGTGATTGACAGACGTGGGAGGATCCAAATCCCCGCTCGTTTCATTGTCGACTCTGATGGTTTTGGTTTGAGGGAATTTCCTGTTTGTTTAGATAAGACAGAGTCAGGGAGGTGAAGTCAAGCTGCGTATTTCCCTCCGGCTTTTTGTTTCCAATTTTCTTAACAAGAACGTGAGTGAAGAGACTCAAAGAGATCTACATGAAAGGAAGGAGAACAGCGAAGGAGCAGGAGATTAGACCAAGATGTGGAAAAATGGAAGATAAGCGTAGGAGGAGAGAGCAGGAGGAAGTCATCCAGTGAAATCATGTGGCTTTGATTTACCTCCTCAAACCACTTCCTGCTTAACCTCAGTTCCCTTCAAAAAGAAACTGTCACTAACCCTCTGGAGGACTGAGGGTCTCTAAATGACCCCGTAGACCTGGGCCCTCCTCTCTGTCCACATCCAGAGAGCATCCCAACTATGTTTGTGAAGCTGCTTTGAGTCTGTCCCGGATTTCCTCACCGCCCCTGTGGGATTTCCCTCCCCAGTCCTCCTGTGGGTTTCTGCTCCACACTAACATCAGTACAACAATCATGGGTGTGTTTGAACAAACAGTGTCCCAGTGCCTGACACTCACCTTGGACTTGAACGTCCAGTTGGTGATTATTTAACTGCATCAAACGCCAAGGACGTGAACATCTCTTCATACAGCAAAGGTTTTTGTTCTCACTCTTTCATCAGAGGCCGCAACAAACACACGGAGGCGTTCAGATGTTGTTGAAAATGAACAACACAAGGTTAGTTTGCACGGAAATGGCAGATGAGTGGCTTTCATTGTCCTCCTGGTTTATTCTTCTAAGGATGTGTGGAGTCCAAATGTTTTTTGTGTGTGCGCGTGTGTGTGTGTGCGCTACAGTGGGTTCTACATCACTTTTTTCCCCAGGGTCCCTCCTTCTGGTGCTGGTCCTGTATCCAAGCTCGTCCAATCAGTGGCCTCTAGGTTTGATCAGCTGTTACCGTAGGAGTCAGTAATGAAGATTCTGTTGAACCAGGTCCAGCAGCCAGAGTGACAGTGATGTGTGTGTTTATGGCCATGTTTGAATAGAAAAATCCACAGAATCTCACACAACCATTTGATGACAGATGCAGGGTTGAGGTGTCAGTTACAGAGAGCGTTGTTTGACTCTGAGTATATACAGTACTGGGCAAAAGTTAGAGTTGGTGTTTACATCTTTGTCTAAATTCAAATTTAAATCAATTCCAAAAAAACAAAACAAAACCAGAACTGCAGAGGCCACAGCAATTTTCTTTGTAGACCAAAACATCTGGGTTGCGGGCTGCAAGTGGGGCCATGAGGTCACAGGCAGCAGGGCCTCACTCTGTGGTCCAGTCAGGCTGCTGGACCTGTTCTTCTAGGGAAGGGTACCAGGAGACCCCCAGGACTGTTGACAAATTAGCTGTGATGTTTACACCAGAATACAACCTTCAAACAGTGCATCGTGCCACCTTCAGAACACAGGGTGGCCACGAGGTTTAAAAGAAAACATCACTTTAGGAGCATTATAAAAGCTACAGCCGGTGATTAAAAAAAAAGTCTGCTTTAGTTAGCGATCTTGATCTTAATTTATGTGAAATCTAATGTTATTCCAAAACTGAAACATGAAAAGTGAATACTGACCACAGATCAAAGATGTGCAACTCTCCAGTATATTTCGTAATAAACTCGTCCAGAGTCTGTGTGTGTTTCTTGTCAACCGTGGCCATGTAGCTTTGAAGGGTCTTGGGTTTGAGTCCAGCAGCACAGGAGCAGCTCACGTGCCAATTTGAGTCCTGTTTTTGAAACATATTTATTCCTCAGCTGTTGTAAATGACCTATTTTCTATTCAGTCTTGTTCACGTACGATTGTTTGTTTTATTTTCTCTCTCTTCTCCACGAATCGTCCTCCATTGAACCCATCCGTCACAGCCGTGCAGTTCACATATCACACCTTTGCCCCACGTTGCCCCTTTACTTTGGTATGACTATTCCCAGCTGAGATTTCTGTTGTACAGTATGACTGAGTTGTATGAGTTTTGAAGAGTCTGTGCAATTTTTGTACAAAGTGATGTACTTGACATACTTCTTTATATTTCTGTGAATAAAAGGTGAACAAACCCTTTTCACATCGACTGCTGTCCTTCACCACAGAGAGTTGGCTGATACGAATGTAGCCTTCGATAAATAAAATAAAGAAAGAAAGAATGTCCATTCAACAACCAATGCTCTTTTTTAGGTTGTGGCACAAACACATCGTCTTCATGGAAACCTGTCAGACAGTAAGTGAATCTCATTCAAAGGTACAATTTTATAACAGTCAAGTAATGTACAGTAAGCAGATGTCATTGATTTAAATAACAAAGGCAACGTTTACATTCAACAAGGAGAAAAGTGACGTATTGTGCACTGTTCTTTGTTTTCACGTACCCTCCATTTGCATAAACAAAAAAAAAGAGGCTTTTTTGTCTGATTTGCTTTATCTATTGTTAAAACTAAAATTGATGAGACGTAATTCTAAAAGCACTCAATGCTCTTGAATGCTTTTAGAATTGCTTGATAATTCACCACATTTTCACAAACGTATTTACCATTTTTGTCTGCGTAGGTTCTCAGTTATCCAGGTCATTTTATCCAAAAATAGTTACATCAAGGGTAACTTGGAGTAGGGTTTTTTTTTATTGTTTGTTTTTTGGAAGACGTTTCACCTGACTGAAGAAGCCTCTTAGATGAGAGGTGAAAAAAAAAACACCTACTCCGTCCAGTTGCCCTCGGATCAGGCATATCTGCTGTTAATACAAGAATTTCCCAAATATGTGATCAATATAGTTCATTTTTTTATATTATTTTTATCTACTATTATTGTGTCCGATAAATTATACTGTCAGTCCTTTATACAGTGATATGTAAACAATAATTTAAAAATGTGCAATAGAAGCAAAAACAGTCTGAGTTAGCAGCCTGTCTCCTGAGAATCTGGGCAACCTGAAACCAACCTGGGGTGGTTTCTTACTCTTCTTGAAGCTACAGCTGTAACAGGAACAGCCATACAACAACAAAAAACACAGCAGCTATTTTTATCAGAGTCTGTTGTACTTCCTTCTCCGTCTTCTTCCTCTGTTCCATTCTGGCTTTCGTGTACCTCTGTCTCTGCAACTCGTCTCCATAGTGACCTCGGTAAAACGCATCAAAATCAAACATGACTTTTTTGCCAGATTTGGAAAACTGGCTGGCTCCCTCCTGATGCTGCTGCTGCGGCGGTCTTGAGGATGCTCTCCCAACACCATGGATGTCCGACTTGCTCAGGATGTGTTGGTCATACTTCCTCCTGAGACTGCTGTCGCTCAGCACTGTGTAAGCCTCACTTATCTCAGCAAAGCGCAGGGAAGCCTCCTCATTCCCAGGGTTCTTGTCAGGATGGTGAATTAAACACTGCCTATAGTAGGCACTCTTGATCTGGGACTGTGTGGCAGTGGGGGACACTTTGAGGATGTCGTAGTAGGCTGTCCTGCTTCTGTTCAGAGGAGATCCCTTGGAGCTGCCGTCACTTCTCCAGCTGTATGTTCTAATTGTTATAAGTTGACCATGACGTAGTGTTTGTCGTCCATGACCTGTGCCACAGTGCTCTGCCAGAATGACGAAGGCAGTGTAGAGAGGACGGATCTGTATCTGCTGCTGCTGCAGAGACCTACAGCTGCCAGGGATGCAAACAGCTCTCCTGGACCAGGATGACATCCTGAACCCATTATGGTGCAGGGCTGGTTTATGAACAGTCTGGACATTGTTTCTAAACTGAAGGCAAAGAGTTTGTGAATTCAACTTCAGAGTAGTAGCAGAAAGCCGACTCTCTAACTCCTGTTTATGTTGACCTTTACTCAAACTGTGCTGCACAGCTCTGGTTTCTGACTCTGGCTGAACTTCACCTTGTTCTCGGCATGATTCCTCTCTGACGCCACAGTTTACCCGGACGCATGCTGAACTAAGGCCGGTCCATACCGTTAACTTCCGCCTGTTCCTGCGGGCGGATAGTATGTTAATTCCTCTCCTTAGACCCTGACCGAACTCCGCCATTTGACCAAAAACAGACCGCTAACAGGACCGGAAGGTCAGTTACAGCTTCCGGTGACGTCACTGACAACCGACCACATAAAATCAATGTTTATAAAGATAAAAAACACGTACTTTCTTTACGATTATTATTATTATTAAGATAACACTTTATTCATCCCACACCGGGGAAATTCACTATTATTATTATTACTATTATCTATAGTCTTTCTACACAAAACATTTACACTAAAATTGCAAATATGACATTTTTTTACATTATTTGCTGCACTACTACTCAAAAATATAATATTGCGATGAACTCCTGCCTTAATAATAAAAAGATAATATACTGTCTGAAACCTGAGTATAAACTGCTCGGTTCTAATGAGATTTTAGAGGCACATAAAGAAGTTTAGTCATCATGACGACCACTGGGTGGCGATGTTACCAAGCGTCGGTATGCGAATTGGCGTCATACAGCTAAGCGAAGAAGAAATCTCACATGTAGACCATCTGCTCATGTAGCGTTTAGCTTATTTATTACCCAAATTTTAGTGAATAATTGTTATTTTACGTACAAGTAGGAATATACTAATAGGGTGAAGAATGTCTTCCAGCTGCCGACGGCCCGAACACTCTGCTCCGCCTGATGTGGTGAGTTTATTGTTTTTTCTGTTCCCTACTATGCTAACTCTTAGCATCAGCTTGGTTTGTTTTGAAAATACGACCACTGTGAAGTAAGGAATTTGTGTCTTATGAGGTAAGTACACAAGGGTTAACTGAAAATTACATACATAAAAATGTGGTGCTCTCTTTTCCACAGTTCTACAATGAAGACGAGGCAAAGAAGTACTCGCAGAAGTAAGTTTGGATTACTAAAACTCAATATTTAGCAGCCTAGTACAGTAACTCAACAAGCTGAGGCTCGGTTTTGACAAAGGCCAATCTCATATCCTATTTATCTATTCGATGTGCACATCTAAAATAAATCTTTCTTTCAGCTCTCGAATGATTGAGATCCAGACCCAGATGTCAGAGAGAGCAGTTGAACTTTTGAACCTTCCCGAGGGTCAACCGTGCTTCCTGTTAGATGTGGGGTAAGTGACAGTATTTACTTTTACTTTTTAACGTTTTAGATCATGAAATTAGCCTGATGCAGAGACAATAAAATGATGTATTTTTGTTTTATTGTTGTTTAAAAAGAAGACCATCAAATATGTCTAATGTGATGAGAGAAAACATCTGGTCTTTGTGGGGTTGTTTTTAAGGAAGTACATCTGTAATGTTATTTTGATGTCTGTACAATGTTAATAAAGTTTTGTATTGGGATGTCACGGTCTCATGTGAATGTCTTTCCTCTGTCCCTCAGATGTGGCTCTGGTCTCAGTGGGGATTACCTCTCAGAGGAGGGACACTACTGGGTTGGGGTTGACATCAGCACTGCAATGTTGGGTGAGTGGGACACTGTTCCATTTGGATCTGTTTGTTAGCTTTCACCACAATTTCCCAAATGTCTTCTGTTAGTGTTAAAAAAAAGGCTGAAAAATACTCCAAGGCAATCAATTGCATAAGTTTAAGAGTCTAATGTACAACGTTAAGTTTTAGAAATTTGCTAATATTATTAATAAGGTGAAAAAATATTGAAGGTGAGTGTTTTCTTTGACAGATGTTGCATTGGACAGAGAAGTAGAAGGAGACCTTTTACTAGGGGACATGGGCCAGGGGATGCCATTCCGACCGGGCACATTTGACGGTTGTATCAGGTATCTGGGAGCAATATATATGTTCATGTCTGAAAATACATTTTTTATTTTTTTTTAACAAACCTTTTTGTCTCTGTCAGTATTTCTGCCCTGCAGTGGCTCTGTAACGCTGACAAGAAAACTCACAGTCCTCCAAAGAGACTCCATACTTTCTTCAGTAGTCTGTACTCCTCTCTGGTAAGTTTCTAATCACTTGTTTGGACTTTTTTGACAAACACCTTGGCACCTGTGCAACATCACAATTCACATCATTGTATTTGGGCATAATTTGTCTGGAGCATATTTCTTTAAAAAACTGTGATAAAATGTATTGCTAACAAACGAGTCATGTTGTGTTGTGAGTTGAGTGTATCAGCACATCACTAGTTGTGACATTTATTTCTCATTGCTCTTTGTCTTTCAGTCCAGAGGTGCAAGGGCAGTTTTTCAGCTTTACCCAGAAAACTCAGAGCAGGTAAAAAAAATACAAAAAGGTTGAATTTTCTTTGTTTGTTTTTTGTTTCCATAACTGCTAACATCCTCTTTCAACCTTGACAGCTTGAGCTGATCACATCACAGGCCATGAGAGCAGGTTTCACTGGGGGGATGGTGGTGGACTATCCCAACAGCAGCAAGGCCAAAAAGTCAGTATCATTGAGCAGCATTCATTTCTGAAGTCACCCCACTGCACTAATAAGAATTTAACATACTGTCATACAGGCCTGTGATTAATAGTTATGCATCAAACACATTTAATTACAATTATCACTACCATTTCAGATTCTTTCTGTGTCTGTTTGCTGGAGTATCAGGAGTCCTCCCCAAAGTAAGAAACAAAAAAGTTTATTAATTTTTATTTGTTGTGGTCACATTATAAAACACTAACATTACAAAACACTAACTTTTTTTCTCATGTTTTCTTTTTTTAATTATCTTTCATAAAGGGCTTGGGAGCAGAAGCTGTGGACAAAAGTGTTTCAAACCAGGTTCAATTCTCAGGGCAAAGGTAAATGAAATCAGCTTCACTTGCATTATTAAACTGTAGATAATATTTTCAATCAGATAAGAATTTGGTCCCAATCTTTAGACAGTATACGTTTAGACAGTTTAGTCAATGATGTTTTTCACATCTGGTGGCCACAAGCTTCTCTCTTTGTCCTGCAAAGTACAACTGTAGAACAACCCAGATTATTCCTAAGAAATAAAGCCGGTCTTTGTGTTAACAGTGCAGGTTAAAAGGTACCTGTTCTGATAAAACAGAACGACCCAGAGAAATGTTAAAGGGCCATCGTCCTGTCTCAGACCTCAGACTCTGTCTGGCAGGTTTTCCGACCTTTTACATCAGGGGTGTCAAACTCATTTTGGTTCAGGGGCCACATTTGACCTAATAAGTTGTCAAGTGTGCTGGACCAGTACTATTTTTTCTTTCCTTAATTTTACAAAGATAACTCCTGAGGGATTAATACAGTTCTATCTAATCTTTAATCATAACATAATAACCTAAAAAATATATAGAGATAGATTTTATAAATCCCTTGGGATTTCCTTTTGGGAAATTAGGGTTCGAGCAGCAGAACAGCATATAACAATAAGTCCATATTTTTCCCCTTTGTTTAGTTTAGTTTATTAGATAAATCCTAATTATATGTGAATATAATTATTTATTAGTTTGTGTATTTTTTTTACTTTCAAAATTGATCAAGCAGGCCAGATTGAAACCTGGTTTTGGCCCACGGGCCACATGTTTGACACCACTGTTTTACATCATTGTTTCCAGTGCATTTAAAATGATTGACAAAGTCTGTTTTTTGTGTGGGGGCATTCACAAAGATGTCGGTATAAAAACATGAAGGGCAAATCTGTGAAGAAGGGTCGAGACTGGATCATGGAGAAGAAGGAGAGGAGGAGAAGACAAGGAAGGTTGGTGTCTCACCTTCTGACATGTTCCTACTCTAAGGATAAATCACTGCTGGTTTGTTGTGTTTTCTGAAGCCTGCTGACCGTTCTTTGTTTTTTCTCTGACCCACAGAGATGTTCGACCAGACAGTAAATACACTGGACGTCAGAGAAGACCTCATTTCTAGCTGTGACTCATGCAGCTGGGCCGTTATTAGGTCTCGTCTGTGGCTCGACGCACAGCTGGAGCCACAGAGTGTTTGTACTCATCACTTTAATTCAAGTGGATGTGAGAGAGTGAGAGTGGATTCAGGCTGAGTTCTTGGTACATGTGGTCCAGTGTTTGGAAGATCGTCCCTCACACTGTCCAGTAAATGACAGGGATGTAGTACAGGTCTCAAGACAACTCCCCCTGTCTTCCCACCGATGCTGTCAGTTTCAATGACATTTGGTCTCCATTCATAAGCTGCTTATTTGTTTATCTGCAATCATTTCTTAATTAAAATGTTAAAAAAAACAGTGTTTTATTTTTGTGTTGTCAACTGCAGCTTAGTCACAATAATGAACTTAAATATAATATAAGGCATAATGAAAATTATGTATTTTATATATTATGAAATTTAACCTTTATCGTCATATTCATACATACGTGCTCTGTGATAACATTTTTAGAGGTTGTAGCTGGTGTAAAAAAAATAAGATTTAATTAACCAGTTGTATAAACTGGTTTCATATTTTTCTATTTTATCTCGTTTTTATAACAAGCGGACCAAATAAACAGGAAGTACGCTTTGTATTTTCCTAATTGCCGACATCAGTGTTCTGTTTCCAACAGAGGGCGCTGTGTGCTTCCACACCGTCCAAAACACCCGGGCGTCATCAGTGAACCTGTTCAATCAAAGTGTGAACTCTCAGCTCAGACCCGCAAAGAGACGCTCTCTTCTGCCTCTCACTCTACTCTGACTGTGTAACACCGCCGTAGATTAGTCTAACACAAAGTTAGGAACAGATTCGAGTCGTAATTCAAATGTTTAAAATTGTATTTAAAAGGTTTGTTTTGCACAAGCAGACGAGGAAGTTGACGCCGTGCAACGGGTTAACGATAGGGAGGCCTGGCCTCACCTTTCTGTGAACGTCACTGGCTTCTGGTCCCACCACCACCATCACCATCATCTTCATCATCATCACCAGCTCCACCACCAATCTCCTCCCCCTCCTCCCACGACAGAGAGAGGGAGAGACTGAGAGGCAGAGAAGCGCGTCTCTGTCCGCCGCCGCTCTCGACTCCTCAGCTCGGTGTGTCGGTCGATCCCTCTACCAACATCATCATCACCATCTTCCTCCTCTTACAGACGGACACACAGACGGTCAGTGGAAAGTGACGGAGTGAGACGTCAGCAGCTGCCATGAAGGACCGAATGCAAGAACTTCGACATGTAAGCGTATTCATTTGTTGTTCCCAGTCCAGAGTCCACCTGCTCTCTGTACAGATGCTCTTTAGGTTTGTTTGTGCGTGCGCGCGTGTGTGTGTGTGCGCGAGAGAGAGGCAGCAACAGTTGTGTATGTGTGCTGCCACAGTCGTGATTTAAACAGGAAGACGTGTGTGTGAGACGTGTTGGACCAGAGTTGGACCGTGTCCTGCTGGTGTCACCTGTGAGCCGCTCACGTCTGAGCGACACTCGTTAATTGTTGAAGGATTGAAAAGGTCGATCGAACTTTGTTAGCTGAAGCAGTTCAGATCATGTCATTTTATATTTACAAGACAACTCTCCATAAGGAGTTGTTCACACCTAGACACAGATTCAGACCTCGAGCCTTTCCTAATCCGGCCTGGAACACTGAAAAATAGATTTTAGTCATCCAACCAGCAAAGTAAAACTCACAGCTTCAAAAACATTCCAACCACTACAGTGATGTCATGAGTGGAAGTTTAATGAAGTGTAGTAATACTACAGATGTATGCAGATGTGCAATAAGAAAGTATATGACTTGATCTGCGGTACCATAAAAACAAACCACAGAACAGTGATCAACTCCAACACAGTAGCAGTCAGTATTTTGTGCAGTTTCTTAAACTTTTTTAAGTCACAGCACATATTTCCCGTTAGAATGATGCCTCAGTGAACCACCAAACAACATGACTTCTGGTTTCAGTTTACTCACAGCTCACCTCCTCTGTATGATACCTGGGCCTGTTTAGTTGAACACAGACCACAAACACTGATATACTCACTATACTAGCTGTATGGAATATATGACTAATAATTAATTCTTACCCTTACTCCAATCTGAATCTATATCTAGTCCTGATATCCTCATTTCTACAGCACTATGCTATGCTTCACTCTTATACCTCGTACAGTACTTTTGCTGCTGTTACTGTAAATCTCTGCATTGTGAGATGAATGAAGTACTTCTTAATCTTAATCTTTATTCTTAAAATGGCAAACTGTCTCCACGACAACTTTCATTCATGGCGCTGGAGCCAATCTGGACTGTCTACGGCCGAAGGCGGGGTAACGCCTGGACAGTTCCCCAGTCCACTGCAGGGCCACAATTGCCACTTTGTGGCCTCCACCACAACAGTAGTACTTAAATCTGTGGATGTAGCCAAGCAAAAAGCCTTCAGTCTCTTCATGTAACCCAGACTGACAGACAGACTGACTAAAGTTGAGATCAGGGACTGTGTGGTTAACACCATCGTGTCCAATATACATGCTCAGCCACATCCCTGATGACATCAGCACCTGCTAGTATAAATTTGACCAAATGCCCAGCTCCACGTGCAGAAATGCAGCCCCAGTCTTGGACAGATTGGACCTCCCCACGCTCAACTGTTGTCTCCTGACACACATTACTGTGCTGCTCTGCTGTCCTTTAGTGAACGCACTGTCTTCTGCCTCAGCCCCAGCACCTGCTAACATTTTTACACACCCCCAGCTGTGGTGTTTTTGGCCACTGTTGACTCGTCGACCTTGTTACCGCGTTAGATGCATTGCTTTTTGACCGCAGGCAGCGTGGACAGTGGCTGACCAAGATGACGTGATTGTGACAGAGACCATGAAGGCCTGAGGAAAATGTTAGCGTTCGCTAGATGTTGCATTCTGTTTTTCTGTCACAGAGACATACGTCTATGATTTATAGCTTTTTGTTGTGTCTGCATGTTGACCAACGTTTGATTTTAATCAGCTTTCTTAGACGTGGGGTACTTGTATTTGCCTGAAATTAAATGTTAAACGAATGTCCAATATATAATGTCCATTGTCAAACTGATTTTCTTCAACATTATTTGGTGCACACTCACATGAAAGTACATATTTTTGACCAGTTAGCTCTTTTGCCATGTTTAGTAACCGTGGTCAACTGTAGACTGTATATAAAAAAAGGTGTAAACCTGAGTTGGTGTGAGATTGATCCAGGCTGAAACAAGGGGGGAAATTGGTCCCAGCTCGATCATCACACTTTAACGTTGCACTTGTTAAATGTACAACAGAAGGTTGGTTCATTTCCAGCTGTTGTGGTTCAGTATCTCTCTGTGTTTGTAACACACTTCCTAATTAACAGGAATAGATTGATAATTTCATAATCCATCATCACGACAGAAAATAAATCATTTACTTTCTCACAGAAATATGTGTTATTGCTGTTGTGTTTGTTTGAAGGAGCAGTCGTCAGATCAGGGTAATTGGCTGTTAGGCTGGAGAGAGAGAAGGAAGAGAATTAGGACTCCTCAGGTCTGAAAAATTCTTTATATGAATTGGCCTCAGGGGAAACAGCCGAGGCCTGCCAAGTGTCTGTGTGTGCGTGCGTGTGTGTTTGCGTGTGCATTTATCAGAGGGCTGTCGTCGGCCTGTCATTCTGCCTCCTGACAGTGCAGTGAGAGATACAGATGCCCAGGTTTACACACAAACACTTTCCATAAATTTTCCTAATCAGCTTCAGTGAGAAAAAACAACCAGTTTTCACAAGGGGCTGGAGATTAATGATGTCATCCGTCCTCTTTATCTTGGTATTTGTGTAACCAGTGAAATGGGGCAGTTGAAGACCCACAACCTAGACCATAATTGGTGTTGAGATGAGTCAGAGCTGTTACATCTTGTCAGTGTGAGTGTAGTCTTTATTTTACACAGCTGTCTGTCTGTAGCATGTTTCCTCAGTACTATTGATGTACACTACACACTTAACTGCCTAACTGAACCTGTGTGCAGTAGAGACGTCCATTGATCTCTAAGATGTTCACATCAGTCAATGTTTCTTTAATTGACAGCAAATATAAAAAGTCAAATATTCTTTACTGCAAAATCTTATTTTCATTACAAGAAATGATGAAACGTTCTATAAACTTCACTCGGTCACAGGTTCACACCCTCCAGCCCAGCAGGTGGCAGCAAACAGCAATTATTTGGCTTGCTGGCCAGGTTTTAAAAAAATTATATTTCACCATTAGCTTAGAGAAGAACATGGTTGTGTGCAAGCCTATTCTGGATGGAATAATTTCAATAAAAGTGGACCCAGTCCACTATCACTGTAAATCCACCAAATGTTCAACAGGTGGTGCTTAAATGTGTGGTTTGCAGCACTGAATGCTCAGCACACTTTGCTACGCTAGGTGGGCTTCGAGTTTTCTCAGGGAGATATTCACGTCCCAATACGCAACATATGCCCTGAAGAGAGAGGAAAAACCAACTAACCATCCAATCAGATCACTCAAATCACCAACCTAACTCTGGTCCAGCTAGAAGGCCTAACTATTTCAGCTTGATGTCAACTTAAAATCTGATTGGTTAAAGAAACAGTCTCATTGCCATTCATTTTAGGCTCCCAGCACCAGGTCTTAGGGCAGAGTTCTTTCAACCTGGTAACACATGAGGCCGAAATATGATTGGATAAAAAAACTTTACGCTGCTTCCAGTCCCAAACACTTGTTTGGGACTGGAAGCAGCGTAACCAAGAGAAAAGCTAAGAGCGAGAATGAATGATGAGAACAAAATAGTAATGTATTTTAATAATAATTCATAGTAAATATATTAAAAAATATGTTCCGTTCCTATTTAGGCCAGCAGGGAAGCTTAGCTGACCTTGAGTCTACGCCACTGATGGAATTCGAAGTGAAAAATATTGCTAATTTTTTTTTTTTTTTTACAAAAAAGCAATTAATCACAATAGTGCCTTACAAAGCAGCTAATTTGGATGCTAATTTCACAGTTGTATCACACCACTTGTCTGAAGTAGTTAATCATAATCCAGAATAGTGAACTCAGACCAAAGACTCGAGAGATGCTGTAGGTTTGCTGTTAGCATTGTAGGTCATTGTAGGACACTTGCAGCACGAGCCCCCAGAACAGGTGAAAAATGTGTCTTTTGAGTTCTGGCCACATTGAGTTCTCAAAGATCCACCAGTGAAATGTCCGCTCATTAGAGATCCACAGACTGGACCTTGGTCTGAAGTCGCTGCTTCCACATTCCCAGTCCAACCCCTGGTTTTTCATTTAAAAAGCTGTTATGGAAATACACTCATTATTTCGACAACTTTTTGGCACCACATTGATTGGGATGAGCTTCAGACGGTAACAAGCTGTGCAGCTGCTGGGTCTGTGCTTCACTTTCTGTCTACACTGTATAGTTATAAGAGTTTAGAATGAGATTTGAGCATCTCCACCGAGGGTCTCGCAGTGGGGATTTTTTTCTGCATGCTGTTGCCAAGGAAATGGGTCTTGCAGTTCAAATTGGTCCCTTAGGAGGGGGACAGACTTGAAGGAGTCCAAAGATCTGAGAGTGGGTTGAGGACACTGAAGAAGGTGGTGCTGCTGAGCACCTGGTGGCTCATTGGTCATGTGGCTGAAATTAACTAAAGCCTGAGGAACATGTTGGCTGGAGAAGACGTCAGTCTCTGCGGTCAAGATATGAACGAATCCGTATAGAATGATGGAGTCCTGTGTTGTCTGATGAATAGATGTGACCTGCTGTGTGTAGGATGAATGCTCTGCTAAAGAGGGAAAGGTTTTTGAACCGGATGTTAACGTTAACGTCAACCTACCTGTGATGATGTCACATGATTTACTTTTCATGCCAGAAATAAAAGATGAAGTACCAAGCTACAACACAGAGAGTACACTGTCACCACGAATGCACAAGAGGTATATTTTAACACTATGATTTCTGTCATGGTTTACTTGAATATCATATGAATTATTTATTACTTATTGTGTCAAGAAATCCCAGCTGAGATTTCTCTGACAGCCAGAGTCAGTCATCAAGAGCCACATCTGTTGTGATCGAATGCAGCTCAGAAAAATCCAACAGTGCACCCTCTAGTGGTTTTCTACAACTTTTTGTATTGTTTTGTTATAAGTGAGCTTCATGTTTACCATTCTCAGTAACCTGTTGTCTGCTAAGTTAACAACAGACTGTGCTGCAGTCTTCATAATTCGAAGGC